GCTGTTTTTAAATTATTTACTTATACCGAATTACATTTTAAAGGAATACTACTATAAATAAATTAAATACGTGATTTCAGAAAATTTTAAGAGATAATTTGGTGACATTGTGCTATCACGTAAATTTTGTTTATTGCTGTTCTAGTTAATTTTCGTCACACTAAAGCTGCTCAAGGGGTATTGGCAACTGTCTGGGAAACATCCCTGAAAATGATCCGAAGACATGCCATCACAATTTTGAACTCTGCAGAGGTGATGGCTCCCTTCGCTTTGATAGACCGACGACATGCGCGTGACGTCAAGTACTTTAGTAGAACATTTTAACGAGAAACAATACCGTACACCCTTGATCCCTTTACAGATTGATCCAAGTAGTCTCTCACCCGCACGCTGACATCGGCCAGTGATGCTCGACTTTGATGATCTGCTGGGAACCGTGTCAACGATCAGTCAATTGCGGAACTGTTGTTGATAGAATTTACGACACAGCGAAAAGAAAAAAAAAAAAAAACTTAAGTACTCGCAATAACTCTTTTTTTACCACGTTTATATAAACTTGCCTTCGTGTGTGTCTGTCCGGGTTGAATTTTGTAATCGATTTTAAACTAACTTCCCGACTAGCTACAAACTTCAAATTTGGCACATAGTTCAGAATTGGATGACAATGCATGAAAATGAAGAGAAAAAAGACATACAAAGTAAAATAAAATTAAAATTAAAAAAAAAAAATATTTTAAAGATTGTCTTTTGTTGTCGATTCCATTATTTCAAATTAGTATTACATGTCAGGTGAAAAGATTTTTACTGTCGGAGTACAGTCAGACCTCGATATAAGGTCACCCTAAGGGACATCGCAAAAGTGACCTTATAAGCGGGGTGACCTTTTAACCGATTCATTAGCCTTTCGTTACTAAGCACGTAAATAGTAGGTACACATTAAGACTTTTTAAAAATGTTAATACAAACGAAAACGATTAACCATAAATTAAATGTTTAAGTTAATAAATTTTAACAGGATTTATAAAGAATTAAAGAAAGTTAGATTTAAAAAATAATTTAATTTACAATAAAGCTGTTTACAAATTTCCTCAAAGTGCACATGCATACATTACATCTTACTTTATTTAAAATAATCATTTATGCAGGTCTGTCTTGTTTTTGGTTTCATTTTTTGAACAATGTTTTCTAGATTTTGAAACTTATCAAAATGTTACTCAGCTCCCTCATGATTTGTAAAAAAATTTCGTATCACATTTATTGCATTGGAGGTTTCCACATGGGTTACAGCTACAGTCTCAGGATCACTGTCATTGTCCTCACTGTCCACAACTTGTGAAACAATTTCAGAAATTGTAGCTTGTTCGTTGGCTGCAACATTTTCCTAGAACTCGAGAGGGGTAATTGCCTTGTAAGGAAGTTAAATAGGCTTTTGTTAGAAAAGAGCTTCCCTCGCCTCAGATAAAAATGACCTTATAAGCGATAACGATTTTTAAAACTTGACCATATATCCGATAATCTGTAACAAAGAATTCCTATTCAGTGAGCCGGGACTTTGGAAAAGTGACCTTATATGCGGGGTGACCTTATATGCGGATGACCTTATATCGAGGTCTGACTGTATGTTTATTGGCTGAAAAATCACGTGGTAGGATCCAGTTTTTCCTCATTCATTTCCAGATTTTTTTTGTTGTCATCAGCATAAAACTGATGAAAGTCGTAAAGGTATTGTTTTTCCATAAAGACTTTTTTATCCCTAATTTAAAATGAAAGTTCTATATATTATTTTAGTAGTGGTCTTGTAGTAGTCTCGACTACTCTTTACTAAGAAAAATAATCTAAATAAAAATATATATTTTTAAAAACCACGTTTTTTGTAGTGAAGAATAATAATTAAAAAGTAATAATTTTTAAAAAATATAAAATAAAAATTAAAAAAAATATAATTTAAAATAAAAAATTTCAAAATAAAAAATAATATTTTTAAAAACCACGTTTTTGTAGTGGAGAATAATAATTAAAAAAAATTGAAAACCGAAAAACGTGGGGCGCATGAAATACATAACAGTACATATACACAGACATATACATATTTTCTTACTCATACACATGCACAGCCACATGTACATCCACATATATATGCATATACACAAACATATTCCACATCCACATTCAGATACAATTACAGATATATATACACATATTCTCAAGAACACACATACGCACACTAATATAACATTACTGTTATGTATTTCATGCGCTCCACGTTTTTCGTTTTTCAAATTTTTATTTAATTATTATTCTCCACTACAAAAACGTGGTTTTTAAAAATATTATTTTTTATTTTGAATTTTTTTATTATTAAATAGAGCTATCAAGTATCAATGATGTTATCTTTCAGATTTTTGAGGAAACAATGGCTAACGCGTAACCAGTCAACCCCGCTTAAAGGAATACCATCGGTTCCAGCCAAATCTATGCAATTAATTATTCGATTATAAGGGGAGTGCAGTATTCAGTCTTAAATTCTTAATTTCTGCGAAATTTTACTTTTTAATGGTATTTAATGCCAAGTATAGCGTTTTGATTAAATAATAAACTTAGTTTTATGATCAATAAACAATTATAATTGATACTATCTGTGTTAGTATCATAAAATATAAATGTCATTTAAAGTTACATAAACATAAATCAATACTAGTAAAAAGTATATTGTAGTTACTAAAATATTATTTGATCCCTTCCGAAAAAAATTTATAATTGAAGAACCCGTTTAATTCGTCAATTTACCAAAATTAGATTTTCTCTTTCAGTTTCTATTAAGGCTTTCATGACTTGCGTATTCCTTTCAAATGCATTCAGATTATTTTTTATTTTTATTTTTTTTTCTAATTCTCGCCCATTGAAATTCCAAATTAATGCGCTATTTAGTTTGGGATTTTTTAAAATATATTGTTTCCCAAATTCATTGTTTTCCCCCCGATAAATTCAAATCCATCCTTTTCTCGCACAACTTGCTCTCATTTATCCCCTACCTTCTTTAATTAAACGAAATTTTAGTCTTTTGTATGAATTTTATAAGATAACAATTTTTTTTTCTTACTCTGTAAATTTTTTGTGACTGTAAATCTGAACAAAAAGCAAACAGTAAGGCCAGCTCGAAGAAAAGTATTAGTAAACATAAATGACGGTGAAAATGTATGATTAGTGATGTCATAATTAGTCTAATAATAAAATTTTTTGCTGAAATATAATTTTCTTTTCTTTTCTGTACTTGTATATAAAAATATCACATTTTCTTTTCATGTGAATAAACTTGGTTGGAAGTTGGGTAGCAAAACTACTGGATTGTTAAAAGTTAAAGGAAAACTGGAGCTAATAGGAAACGAAACTTTTCCAACAAAATTTGGCAAGTTAGCTGCTCTGGTATTGGATAGTTTCTCGTTTTAGATGCCGCTTTTAAGAAGTTGAATCAGGAGCATATCAAGTCCATACTACATATATTTGCTTTATAATTATTTATCGCCTTCACTCAACCTAAAACTTGCCAAAAGAAATTAATTTATATATTTAATTTGAATTGAAAAAAAATGTCTGAAAGAAAGCATATTATTTTAATGAATTCCGAAAAGAATGATTTTCCAGGGGCATAGCATAAATGAAAATTTGTCGACTTTTTTTCTTCACCTTTACAAAATCCCATTTTATTCCGTGGGTCCTAATTAAAGGTCATTTCCGGTTTAAATTCAAGCAATAAATACAAATTAAATATAACAAGATATAAAAGTATTTGCTTTTTTTTTCATACTTTTTTTTTATTAAATTGTGTTCATTTACACCGAAACGAGTGAAAAAATATTATATTCAGCATTTTAATAATTCATAGTTAGGAACTGTTGTTCTTTTTTGCGGTAGAGGTAAAATATTCTAAACACAACTGATTTCCAAGTGATAATTTTTCAAATCTGCACTTTATTTAGTTCTAAGAAAAACAGTCATTCATCATTGAAATTTGCTGAACTTACGAAATCAATTATGTATAAATTTTCCAATCTTAATGAAAACGCTTTTTTTTTTTCAAACTTTTTTTAGCTTTTATATTTTAGTACAAATATAATTCCAGTAATCTAGCAGATTTTTTTAGTAACTGTTAGACTGTTTTTTAGAATTAAAAAATACCAAAATGTATTTTTGGTTCTAATTAGAGAGTCAGAATAAAAAATTCTAAACGAGTCGCTGGTGCCCCATCTGCGTCAAAGGGTTAAGAAATCTTTTTTAGTTGTCTTCTCCATTTCAGTTATCTTCCAAATCAGTGGTTACCAACTGGCGGCCTGCGAAGCCTTTTTTTGAAAGAACTAAAATATATTAGTTTCTTTTTTTCGGAAAATTTTCGTAAAAAATCTATATGGGTTTAAATACTTAGTATAGGTTAAGTATAGGTTAGTATAGGTTAATATACTTAGTATAGGTTAGTATAGGTTAATAATATAGGTTAGATCTATATGGGTTTTATATCTTAACAATTTGATCTCTGTTGAACATTAATTGTTTAATACATAGGCGCACAATTAAAATTATTGTAATCAGAATTTTTCAATATGCAATTAAATATTTTTAAAAATCTACTTTTTTTAATTTGTAATTCAATACTTTTCTTTTGTACAACTTGATAAAAATCTGACAGTAATATTTAATGTTCCGTCAAACAAAAAACAGTCCTATATGAAATTTTGATAAAGTTACGGCCCGTTATTTGACTGGTATTTTTAATTGCGCCCCCCGGTCTCATGTAAGTTGGAAACCTATGTTCTAAATCTAAAATTTTTTGTCACCCCCTAAGCGCTGGTACCCGGAGAGGACCACCATACAGGACTCCGCATTCCCTCACATTGCATTTCACGATTTTAAAATATATATACGACTCTGTATTTCAATTTAAGAGCGCATTTTCTGGAAATTGTTATACCCCTGATGCGTGCTGCCATCTCGTTCCGAGGCACTTTTTCTCTTTATTGATCATTCTTCAGTTCATGCTTTAGAAACCGGAAGTTTAAGATGTAAACAGCATGCACCAACATTGAAAGATATTATTATGGCATAGAAATGTAACGACATATTCTAAATTGTAAGTTTTTTTCCTCCTCTTTTTAAATAGTAGTTCGATTTGTTTTCAGTTGTCTACACAGATTTAATGATTTTATTCTAAAGGTCAAATCGGGGTCTGACTCTACAACAGGTAAATATCACCCCTTAGAGGAATAAAAATTTGTTATTTTTAGATTATATTTAATTATTTAAATTATTAGTAGTAGCCACTTTTAAAAATGATGTTTATTAATCAATATAAATAAACAGATAAAATAAATAAAATATCAAAATAGAGATATATTAAAAAAAGAAAAAAAAGAAACTGGCTTAAGTATATACAGTAAATAACTTTTTAATGCTTTGCGAGGTAAGAATTTTTTTTTCACCAGCAAATTAGAACTTAAGAAAATGACAGCACTTATGCATAATAAATTAAATAAATATTGAATCAAGTCAACAAAATTCTGTAAAAATTACAACAATGATAGTAATAACCATTATCATTAAATACCTTATCAAAAGTTAGGTATCTGAACTTTTTTTTATTTAATGATAAACCAATTCATTGATTTAAGTATGCACTTTAGTTATTCTTTTATCATTTATTCACTCGTTATATCAAGAATCTGCAATAGTAATGCTTACCATAGCAATACGATATTAGGAGAAAAAAAGAATTAAAAAATTATAGCTATTATAGGACATTGAAAAGTATATATATATGCAGTTTTTGAAAAATGAAAAACTGACAGTAAATGTTTATGAATGAAGCAGTGAAAATATTTTTCTGTCAACAAATGTTTCAACTACAAAACGTCTTGCAATGATGAACTAAAATATAAGCTAATATTAATTTTTAATTATTAATATGTTGTGTTAATAACGAGTGTGTTAAATAATTTTATTTGTTCAAAAAGTGGTGAGAAAGCTAAATAATATCATTACTATTTTTTTTTCGTAGTCTTTATGAACCCATATCAAGGTTTATTAATCTATAAATTAATTCAAATTTAGCTAGCGAAAAAATTTCTGTTTCAAGTTTGTGAAAGTATGTTTATTTGGTATACAAATGACCATACAACATATTGTTTTTGTGCTCATAAGTTTTAATAATTAACTCACTAATTAATATAATTTTGAATTTTTCGTGCTTCATTTCATTTATAGAAATGTATTTTATGGAAATTTGTTTCTAAATTTTAGTTTTATGAGTAAGTATTTTCGAAACTTTTTCAAAGCAGTTTTCTATATTTAAATCATTTTCAAAGCGACCAAAATAAAGCATTTCATTTATTATGTATTTTAATGGAGACTTTTTGAATAATAATCATAAATTTTTAAGTTCTCTTATAATGCTTGAAAATATAAACTGTCATTTGACCGAATTTGATCACTTTTACTAAGTTTCTAAATATTCTAAGTTTCTAATTACCCCAAAAATGTAGAATAAAAAGATACCCAGTTTAAGTTCTAAGTTTTCCATAATTGGTAATTTTTTAAATTGAAGTGTTAATTAAAACAAAAACTACCAAATATCATAAATTTGAAACCTGATTTTATTTTTGTTTATTTATTTATTTATTCATTTTGCTTTCTATGCAGAAAACATTTGAAGGTAAAGATAAAACAAAAGTATTGAAGACTTTGGTGCGAGACACACGAAATAAAAGTTTAAAAAGCTAAAAAAGTGGGAAAGAAACTGACCTAATGTGTTGTGGAAGTGAATAATTTTAGCTTTAAAAAGGACTTTAGTATTAAAAAAATAATTAAGAAGAAATCAAACCATGCTCTTCACTACAATCAATATATTTTAATAATTAAGTCCGTGTAATGTTTGAATGACTAATTAATTATGATTAGCTCAGAATGACTTGAAATTTCAATTATGTATTTTGTGCATTTTCTTATTCAAGAATTGATTATAAACAAGAAAAGTTTTCCACCACTTTTTATTTTACTACGATATATAGAAATATTTTAAATGTGGCTTATCATTGCCTCTCGCTAAATACACTTCATTAAACAGAGTGATGACAATCAGAGAAAAAAATAAAAATTGGAAAACTGATATAATGGATAAATATGGAAAGAATTATAAATTTCTTGAAAAAAAATGGTTAAATAACAATTTATTTCATTGTTATTTTACCACAATCAATCGAAGCTGTCAAATAACCATAAAAAGATAATATTCCAACTGTTAAAGGGGAGAAAAATCGCTTATTGGTTTTCACCGAATATGCTTAAGCAACCGGGCTTTTTCCAGCTCTAATTATACTTATGAAGCCAATTAGTTCCTTACAGCTGGGAACTACGATTGGAGGACCAATCTCTCAATCTCATGCCCGACAGAGCGGGGTTTCGAATCCCTGCTTTGACACCACAATATTTCCTCCACTCCTTCAGTGCATGAGGAGTTTCCAGTGCCTTTTCCAATTGGTGACCCCGTACTCATTGACGCATATATGACAGTTCTACAGAGCTGTTTAACAGAAGAAAGTCTAATATTTATTCTCTTTCACGATAGATAGACCACCAGATAAACTGATTAAACCAAATTTAACGGTTTACTTGACAGAACACTACTCAGTATAACTGTCTCCAATGTCAAGTTAAATTTCAGTTCTACGTTTTCGGAATCAAGTTTTGAAACAAAATTATATTCAAAAAGTAAAGCAAAATTTAAACAAATTAATTAAAATTTTCGCGTTCATAACCATTTTCTGGCTATAAACGTGAAATGTATGTAGTGTAGATTTTATATGCTTTTGATTTGACTGTTTGAAAGATACAGCTAAAACGAGAAACTAATATCAAAGCTCCTAACTTGAAGAAGTTGGCAGCTTATTGAGAAAAAGTTGCGTTTTAATATATGAGTCTTAGTTTAAAGTGATTTTGCTCTTCATATCATACCAATAATTTAGACATATGTGACATATATGTAAAAGGCTGCTTTCTTATACTGTTAATTCGTGGTAAGAAATGTTTAGTGTAAAATTCAACAAATACTACAAAATTTAGTGACTTTCTAGCACTTCAGAAAATCTTTTGTATAAAGTGGAGCTGTAGCTATTTTTGCACTGTACATATAGTCGATTTTTCTTTTTGTGATTTGTTATTGTTTCAAAGGTTTTTTTTAATATTTAGTTTTCTTTTTAGGATCATAAATACATTTCTTTTAAACGCATCCGGATATGTAGGAGATGGGTGGGTTAACTATTTTTATAGACAATCATTTTTGTGAAATATTTTTCCTGTGATGGGAAAACAATTTCATGCCCATTCAATTTCGTTAAAAAAAAGTTCCTTATTTATCCGATGTTTTAAAAGAATGTTTGAATTCTTTTGATGTCGCGATTTGAAATATATTTCTAAATACCTTTTGTTAAAAATCAAATATGAAAGGATACATTTGTCGGAGAAAGTAAATCCAATTATACTGTTGCATAGACAATCACTTTGTAAGGGCATGTAAACAGAAAAGATGATCTTAAAATATTATTTTTTTTAGTCTTAAAATTATACCAAATGTTTTCTTACATCGAGTTAAAGCAACATTATATTCTTAGTAAAAGAACAAGCTTCTCAGGATTATGCGATTTTCCCACTCTTCACACATTTCTTTCTCCGTTGTCTTGGTTTCGGTAAATCTTGCTTTTTCCCTACTGCAGTATATTCCAATTTCATACCGAAACGAGCCGCAGTGGGAGAAAAAAACAAGATTTGCCAAAACCATGACAACGGAGGGGAAAGTTTGGAGAGTTGGGAAATCGCATAAACTTGAGATGCCTATTCTATTTACAAAAAGTATAGTAAAACTAAGCGTTTAGTGTGATCCGATTTCTGAAATTGAAAATTATTATTTCCAATATTATGTTTTAATTGCTTTCAGGAAACGTTTTATTTAAGTAAAAGCATGGACGGGAATGTAACATGGTCTAATGTGACCTTCCTGAATTATATGAATGTTACCCTGATAAATCCATGCATGCCCGAACAAAAGCAACCCCAGCATGTCATGTATCAGTTGGCCAACATTTGCTTCATCATCTCGTACCTGGCACCTGGTGGAGAAAAGGGTCTACTTTTTATGCACTCCTCCCTTATAATTGGTAAGTAAACAGTTCAAAATATTTCGTGGCTTTTAAGATTTATTATGGATGGTGATTTGAAAAAAAAAGTTAGCCCAGAAATCCTTTAAAATTTTTTTCATTTAGAACGTCAATGCTAGCTTATTGTTATTGTTATTTATTCTACGAGGCGAGATTGTCAAGTACTTGATCTTGTCGTATCGAAACATAAAGGTACGATTTATAAGATATCTATTCCAATATTTGTTCCTTGTGCATATTAATGTTTCTTATACACAATATCGCTTAGAATAATTGAGATTTTGGTCATGAAGAGACGTGGTTGCCGAATTTTTAAACAAATCGCTGCTTTGGCAACATTGATCTTGCTGTATTTTTATTTCTGGTTTGTAATATTAATGAGTGCGTAGCAGAGCTAGGTAATTTTTTTGAAAAATCTCGAACGTGTCGTTTCAGCGAACGAATGTCTGTCTGAATAAAATTTCTGCTGTGTCAAATAATAATGACAGTCAACGCGTGAGCTAAAAGGCTAGAGAGTAGAGCTCATACAAAGACACAGAAGTTTTGCAGAAGGTAAGAGTACAGCGGATGCAAAGACACAGAAGTTTTGTGAAAGGAGCGATTAAAGCGGATAGAAAGACAAAGAAGTTTTGCAGGCAGAAAGAGTACAGCACCTTCTGCTGTAGAAACTACCATCCATAGAGTGTAATCTGGATATATACTATAGAAACACAGCAGATGATAAGCTTATAGTGTTCAAATGCAAGATGTTGTCCACAACGAACACTGGTAAAGGATCGGTAGCATCAAATTCAGAGTGACACTATCAGAAGAAAAAAAAATTATGTGTGACATTTCAAAATTTTTCGAACTTACGAGTGGCAATATAAGAAGTATGAACGGTGGAGGCTCAGGGGATAGAGCTCTCGCCTCAGGACAAGGTGAACCGGGTTCGAATCCCAGAGATGGCTGGTCGATACGAATTCCGCTCCCGACTCGCGCCGCCAGTGATAACGCCAAATATTCTCAGTGGTAGACGGAACATGGGTTAATGTCCCCTTAGCCTCAGACTAATCGTGGGAGGTTTTCGTGATTTTCCTCTCCATGTAACGCAAAATGCTGGTTAGTTCCATCAAAAAGTCCTTCTCGCAGGCAAAATTTCTCCTAATACTTGATCCAGGAGTTCCCTTGTCTTCTGGATTGGATTCAGAATTACAAGGCTATGGAATTGAATATTGGTAGTTGTCAATTAAAACTGGGTAGACTGTTCAACGACGGCTATTAAATAAAAAAAATTTAAGAAGGAGAATAAATAAAAATGTAGGATTCCTTGTTAATAAGCGTTTTTATAGGTTATGTTTGAAATAAGAATGAATTGAGAGAAGCATTTAATTTTAAATAATTATTATATAGTTGATATTTAAATGATGCGACTTTCAAATAATATATTTTTTTTCGAAAAACATTTATATATTTAAAGATTAGTTCTTGATGTTACCAACAAAATCAAGTGTCACGAAAAGTGTATATAAAATGATTTAATAATATTTCAATTACATAATATATTTTAAAAATATTGTCCAACTCGAACAATATTTTGATGACATATGTTTTTATTACATAGTATAGTGAGCAAGAAAACGAACCACCCTGAATAACTCTTAATGTAATGATCGGATTTTCCCGTTTTTCGACTTAATCTAAATGATTCAAGGGGGGGACCTCAAATATGCTAATTAATAAGTGCAGACGATATTTTATGTTACGAAATAAGACACAAAAAAAAAATACTTACTCTGAATAAAAATCTTTTTTCCGTCAGATTCGGATTTCTGAACGCCAGATTATAGGGAGTAGATGCAACCTGGGAAATATGGTCAAAATAGTTCGGTCAGGAGAGGGCTCCGACCGAACTATTGGGGCCATATTTCCCAGATTGTGAAGTTTGGACCCCTTAATGTTAATTTGATTTTTTGCATATTTCGCTTTATTTCGAAAAGGTTTTAGGAAAAAAACGAAAAATTTTTACACACAATTATAAACTTCGTTTGTCCAAAGATAATTCCATGCAAAAAACAACTTTCAGTAAATATTTATTATTTTTTATTACTTTATTTAGGAATAATCTAAAAAAATTTCAATTGTAAGGTATACAATCTCTTGCCTCATTTTAAATAATGTAATTTTATGCAACAAAACACAAAATTTGAGCAAAATTGGTCGAATAGTTAATGAGAAATCGACCACATGCCGTATGATTATGCCACATGCATGACCACAGTGGTTGCCAAGTTGGCCATCAACGCTTTCGAGAGATAATTTTCTGCATTGAAAGTATAGTTAAGGATCTACACAAAAACTAATAATTAACTTTTATAAATAAGATAATTTATGAATAAAGTAATTTAGAATTATGAATAAGATAATTTATGAATAAAGTAATTTAGAATTATGAATGAGATAATTTATGAATAAAGTACTACTCTCCTGTTTCCAAAAAAGAAAAAAACGAGAAGCAATATTATTTAAGGGAACGGAGACAGTGTTTAGATCCACTTTTAAAAATAATAAATCAAATATTTATAATTAGCGAGAGAATTTGTGATTTTATACAAATATTATGTGGTTTGAGTTAGTAAAAGAGCCACTTAAATCAAAGGGAAACTAACTCCTACTTTTGTTAATGGACCCCATGCATTACGATAAAATTTAAATCAAAAGAATGTTTAAGAATACTTTAGTTCGAAAAATTAATTCCTAGATGACTTTTTTTTAGAATCATTCCTAAAAAAAAATTAGGCTCCCATGGGTCAGAGAAAATTTTAATTGTGATAGTAATTTTATTTTAATTTTTTTCATAAGATATTAATTTTACGCTTAAGATATATATAGGCTAGAACTTTATATACAAATTTATTTATTTACAAAATACAGTAAATTTCCCCTCCGTTATAGCAGCAATCGGCAATAACGTTTTAAAATGATCGTTATCGTGAGATTGTCGTAATAAAATAATAAGTAATATTTAATGTTAAAATACTAATAAAAGAACTACACCCTGAATCCCTTTTTAAAGGCACATTTAATTATTTCCTTTTTATTTTGAACCATTATTTTGATTTAAAAAAACGTACATAGAGTAGAATACTTTGACTTATTGATTTTTGACTGGACTGGGAGTTTTTGCAAGGAAGAAATGAAATGATGTGCAATAGTTTTTGATGTCATCGATAAAACTGAATATTGATTTCAATAGCAAACCATCAAGAAAAAAAATAGGGCCCAAGGTAGACAAATATTCAAATAAAAGCTCATTTTTTGAAGAGTGGAGCAGCATTCTTAAAAAAAGCAGAAAAATTATTCTTTTGTAGGGAGGAAGACAACTTGACCGTTGGTCGTTCACACATTACTTAATAAACATAAATGATTAAAAAATTTGTATTAGATTATTTTTCTTTAAATATATTTTGATTTTGATTATATTATTATTTAAATTATATTTAAGGATTATATTATTGTTCACAAACATATTTTGATCTAAACCTATAACAATATCTGTAGGACAAATTATGTGAATTTGTTAAACATAAAGATGAAATAATGTATATTCAACATATAATATTGCCCAATTAAACTTTAGAAAAATATATTTCCTTTTAAAACAATTATCGCAATAGTGACAGGCTATTAATTTTAAGTTCGTTATGAACATACAATTTTTGTATCGTTAATAATAGCATTTTGATGGTGAATTGGAAATAATATAGCTTACGTCACAGGTTGTGTTGTTCCTACTAAATTTAACCCATGAGCGGCATTTTCTGCGAGCCTAACTTCAAGCCACAAATAAACAAACGAAGTGTTCGATCGTTTAAATAGCTGCTCGCCAGATTTTATTGCATTATAAAGAAAAGTTATTGAAACTAAATACAACTAAATAAACAACAACAACTAAAACAAATAACAACAACTACTAATAACAATAACTAAATAAACAACAACTAAATTCCATTCGTTTAGTATTGCGTCATATGTTGTTCCTATTAAATCGAAGTAGTTGTGTTTTTTTCATATTATACCCAATTGAAAACTTGACGTAATATTGGACTTCTCATAATCTCGTTACACCGATCGTTTATTGTATTATACAGTGGTGCTCTCAAGTGTGTGAAAGGATAATTGTGTCAAGTGTGTCAAGTGTTTGTCTTCTTTTTCATTGGCAATAAAGAATTTAATTTTTACTATATAATTTATTGAGGAACGTTTGAATGTTATTACAGGTTTCTTCATATTTGCGATGTGGGCGTGGAATGTTGTTTGTTCTCCTTCCATGTTTTCGTGGAACTTCTTGTTCGTTCTCATGAATATGGGTCAGCTGTTACACATTCTGTACAACATGAGGAAAGTCAAGTTCAATCCAGAATTGGAAGATGTTTATAGGCATATGTTTCTGCCCCTTCAAGTAAGAATACTTTCATATTTAAATGATGAATTCTAGCTTTGCTTTTTCTCTTTCACTCCTTCATCCACCAAAAAATTCTACAGATTTCCGTGTATCTTGATCTTAAAACAATTTTAAAATGTTATAAGCACCATACTAATGGAAAAATTAATAGGAGTTTAATATACTATGATACTCTGCTCATAACCCTCGTGATTGTTTCTCATTCATCATTGCATTTCTCTTAAAAATCGATAAAAAAAGATAATTTTGCTTATGAAATACGCAATTATAGTAATTTTATGTGAACACATTTTGTTCATTTGCTGGCCATAACATAATAAACGGATATCTGGACTGGAAAAATTATCAATGGGATGCCCGCAAGTGACGTAGTGTAGGTATCTCAATCATGATTGGTTGTTGAAACTACGTTAGCAACTGTTCTTTTCATTCTATTTCGAGTAAGCTAAGCCCATCAAGTATCTTCTCAGTCGAAGTCCGTTGTTTTGTAACTTGAGTGATAAATAAAGAAGAAATTTTTTTTTTATTTATTTTTTTATTTTTTAATGAATATAGCCCAGGATGGGTGTTTTAAAAAAATGGATACAGATATTTAAGGAAATGGATATAGCATTTGATTCCATTTTTCAAACTTTCCTCATGACAGTTTTTTTCTAAAGAATAAATTAATAAATTCAAATAAATTCGTAACTTGATGTCCTCCATTTGTCTAATTCACTTTGTACATTTTAATAAAGATATTAAAGGGTAACAGTCCTTTTTACAAGGTTGTCACAGGTCTTCAAAATTTATAAAGTGGTATTAAAACGAGGTTACACGAATTTAGATGTTTTTTAAAAAACTATTTCAACTTTTTATGTTCTGAAAACGAAGAAATTCCTGAAAAGTTACATCTATAATATACCCAGCCACTTTAATCACGATGTTCAGAACTTTACCCGGTTCTTAAAAGAATAAGAAAAAGTAAACACGCTATTCTATGCTAAATTTTGATTGAACCTTGAAAAACCTCATTTTTTACTGTTTCCATTTTCGAAAATACGCATCCAGGTAGATTTCCGGATGCGATCTTTCAATCCAGCAGCCTTTAGTGACCAGCTCCCCCGTTTGGTATTTTTTTCAATAAAAAAAAACTTGTTTCTTGTCTTTGTTTTAGTTCAGTTAGCAAATTTCGAAAGAAATAAAAGCTTGTATTATGATTAGAACCAACAACAGAAAGAGGAAAATCTGCAGATAAAGAAAACGAGTCGTTAAGGATACTCAGTTCTAAACTTGCTGACCGGATTGAGCATTGTCCGAAGTAGAAACCCCAATGATGAATCTATTTGTTACGTAACAACTTAAAATAATTTGATAAAAATTTCCCTGAACAGAGAAGAACTAGCTATTTGCAAATTTCTAGACACGGCTCGAATTGCCGCTGATATGTCGGCCTTTCTAGAGCCACTGATAGATCGGTCTATCAGTGGCTCTAGACACGGTTCGAATTGCCGAATGGCTTCTAAACAGATCAGAGTGATTCAGTTACGGCTGTTATGTATTCACATGAGTTGAATTTCCTTAGTAATAATGCTGAAAGCCTCGCCTTACCTAAAAACAGCATCAGTATCTTTGAACGAATTAAAATGTTATACTCTGTTGCAAGTTAAAAAAAAAAACATTATACTTATGGAGGGAACCTATTTGCAAAGGATGCAGCTGCCAGAACGAACATGTATCAACATCTCTAACTCTTGAAACGACGTTGTACAGCCTTATCTTCGCTTCCTTTCTTAAATCACGTGAAATGAGCAGAATAAAAATTATTGAATAAAAATCATTGTTTTGTTAATAGAAATTAATAAAAATGATACCTAAAATTCGTTACAAATACAAGCCTTTCTGTTCGCATTTAAGGAAACTGATGAAAGAATAATAAATATTGTTTTTTGCAGACGATTTTCTTCAACAGCGAAACAAAATAAAAAAAAATTCATTAACTCGAGTTTGATTTGTTAAGGGAAACGTCAGCATTAGACGTACCTTTTTCAGTGGTCCAATCAAATCCAATGATCTTTCACCGTTACATAGTTATTCATTTTTCAAGAACGAATGTTCTCTTTATTGAAATATGTCGCCAAGTAAGACTACAGTAAGACTACGAAACTATAACCCTTTTTTAATAACTCTATGATATATATCGTAAAAGATAGCACGAATTAAACTTTCGACGAATCTGACGAGTTTGACTTTCAAAAGTATTGCTTTGTCGGACATTGCTTTAAAGTCATACACCTAAGAGCCATTACATTATGACCACCCTCCATCTATAACAATGGGCTCGTCCAGGTTTTCATGGTTTCTCGCCCAGGAACAATGTTTTCATGGGGCGCATTAGGACCCATAATCTTCATAGAACAATCCGTGACGTCTGTAAGCAACTTTAGCATAGTTGCAGAACCGGTTCACCCATTTATGCTAGCAGTTTTTCCTGCAGGGGATGGTGTTTACCAACAGGATAATGCACCATGCCATAAGGGTCGAATCGTCGAGGAACATTCCAGTGACTTTCAAGTCATGTCTTGGCCCCCAAATTCACCTGACCTGAATCCAATAGAGCATTTGTGGTCCTACTTGGAAAACCAAATTTGTGCTACTCCCTCGCAATGTGAGGGAATTGCAGGACCAGTTGGTGAGTGCTTGGTACCAGATACCTCAGACTACCTATCAGCACCTTGTGGAATCAATGTCACTGCGGGTGCTAGCAGTTTTGAGGGCTAAAGGTGTTCCTACATGTTATTAGCAGGGTGGTCATAATGTAATGGCTCTTTGGTGCATAATTTGATTACTCAATAAAACTTAACTATATGCATTTGTGGATGATTACTTGAATCCTATACCGCAATGGTCTTTCTTTAAACTAGTTTGCGGATTATAGTTTCCTTTTTCCATTGATGTGAATGCTTATGTTATCAGGTATCGAGGCATTCGTTCAAGAAGCTGGTGTGTCCTGACTATTCTCAGGTGATGTCGCTGCATCCAGGTGAAGCTTATGCCATGCAGAATCTGACAAAGACTGATCGCCTTGGACTACTCATTAGCGGAAAGTGAGTCATTTCATCAACCTCTTCCCAAAACGGTGATTATACGAGCGACAAAATCCACCGCTGCTTTTTTGAGTGGAAATTATAAAATTTAGAAGAAAATGAGTTCAAGTAAACCTAGAGGAAACCATTAAATTTCAAATGCTAAAAAAATTCCGAAATATCAAATTGAAAATAAATTATTGCATGAAAACTTTCCCTATTCGTAATTTGTTTGCATTTTCATATTTCGAATAACTGTTTTTCGCACTTAAAATTTCACTGCTTTCCCTAGATTTAGTCAGACACATTTTCTCTTTACTTTAAATTTTAAAATACTTAGATAAAAGAAAATTTGTCAAGAATGCTTTCTTCCACAGTATAGCATCCTCTTAAAAAGGGTGCAGCAGTGAACTGATCGTAAAGACACGGTTCGCAGTAAAACACCGAAGTCAAGCATCACTGGCTGCGGTCAGTAAGCGGATGGGTGATCACTTCGATCAGCCTGTGTAGAGACCGAGAGTGTGCCGTATCGAGCAGGGGAGCTATCCCTTCTGCAGAGAATCAAAATTGCGATACTATGTCTTCGGATCGTCCTCAGGGATGTTTCTCAGATTGTCGTGAATAGTGCAGCTCTAGCGTGACGTAAATCTGCCTATCTCTTAAGAAGGAGGAAGCTGAAATCTGACGTGTATAATGCCCACTCTCTTTTTTTTCTTTTATAAGTGACGTAGTGAAAAAGACGCTAGGATCAGTCGTGTATTCGTCCTACACAATACTGATCGAAAGACACACTTCCCAGTAAACGGCCGAAATCAAACGTTACTGGTGGCTGTCAGTAAGCGGGTGTATAACCACTTTGATCATCCCTTGAAGAGACAGAAGGCTCTCGGTATCGGTCCTCTTTAAATTGTTTCGACCTTAAAATTCTCAACTTCACAGGTAAAGCTGGAGTGACATTCCTGTTAGAGTGATCCAAACGGGACGTGACAGGAGTGATCCAAATTGTGATGTCATGTCGGATCATCCTCAGCTTGGTTCCCAGATCATGACAAGTAGCCCCTTGTGCAAGACATTGTGGCTCAAGAGATAGAGTGCTCGCCTCTCAATGGAGTACCCGGGTTTGAATCCTAGCGATGGCTATTCAATACGAATTCAGCACTCGGCTCAAACCGTTCTCAAAGCTAACGTAAAATATCCTCAGTGGTAAACGGACCATGGGTTAGATTTCCCTTGTTGACAGGCTATCCGGAGAGTTTTTCGTGGTTTTCCTCTTCATGAAACGCAAATACGTGTTAGTTTTATCAAGAAGTCCTCCACGAAGGCAAATTTATCCCAGTATTTAATGCAGGAGTCCCCTTGTTTTCTGGATTGGGTTCAAAATTGCAAGGCAATAGGGTCGTATTCGTGATCTGAGATTTTGGAAGAAGGATCGTGTTGGTGAAGTGAACTATCAGAGAAACGACCAAGTCAATGAAATGAATTGTTGGTGAAAATGTTGTTTTTCATTCAATTAATTTTTGAATCTGTCTAAAATGATGATTTATGCAAACAAAGCATCTAGAGTGCGTCATATGGATTAAAAATATCGAACGAAAACAAGAACTTATGATCGATAAAATTTAATTTATATGGAGAAGTTAAGCGCGAAAAATTAATAATTATTGAAATAATTTGTTAAATAATTTGATTTAAGCTCGTTCGGGAAAAAACACGTGACCTGTAAATAAAATATAAATATTAAATACTACCTAGTAACAGTTTTATATGTCCATAGCTATTGTAAGATAATAATCTGCATTAAAATAAAAACGCTCATAATTTCGGTAAGATTTTATTAATTAAATATATGTTCTACAGTTACATTTTGAATAGATTTTCTAAAGGAATTACGAATAATACGATTAGATTTAAAATTATTTTTTATTTGTGTACAAATTTACCTTATAAAGTAACCGAGAATAAAGAATTCCTTATTTTGTAAATAGGGTGAACGTTGTATCTGGACAACATTTTTTGCATTACATTCAAGCCAGAGAATTCTTGGATTCTCCAGAATTTGAATCAAGTCGATCTGGTGTGGAGGAAAAATTCAAGGTAAAAATATTTATGCAAACTTTTATTGGGTAATATAGAATAGTTCAATGGAAGCAAAAGGGAAATAAAATTACTCTCTGGCCACCGCAAGAAGAGCTCAGTACTACATATCGCTAGTATCTCCTGTATTGGATATTTTATATTAATTTCAGAATTATATCTGTTCTGAAAGTCACATGCTTCTTTAAAACTTCAGTTATAAAATACTATACGAAAGTTATAATTCAATAGTGTCGTATTAAAAACTCCTTTTTTTACCTTTTATTTTGTTCAAACTGATTGTTTGAATTAAAGTTTGAGTAGTTCTATATGATAATATTCCATATGAGTTCGATATGAATAAATAAGATTCTATAGATTATAATTTATTTAACTACTAAACTGAGAGAAAACTGCCTACTGGCAAGTTTTGATCAAAAGTATCAAGTTATTAAATTTAACTTGATACCTACACTAAATTCATAGTCATTAACATGATGTGGTAATTATCTAATGCATTATCTTTTTCTGTGATAGACTTTTGGGGGGAGTAGGCTACCGACAATATCAACCGTCATCTATTAAAAGGCACCATAAGAAAGAATCGATTTTACATGTCTTACTAGTGAATGGGAAATGAATAGTTGTAGTGCTAGCTACGCTATAATTAAAATAATAGTGATATTTCTACCAGAATTATCCCTGTGATAGAATTTGATGAATGAATGCTACTAGTTGATTCATTGCCGTCTAGCAAAAGGCCGGAAGAGTTGTATCGATCACGATTGTGAGCGCAGTCGCTCCTGTGTTGCAATTAGCAGTCGAGTATGTACAAGACCCAGTTGTGTAAGATCAAGACTGAGTAGCAACAGCGCAAGGAGGACAATGTCGAAGTCACAAAAAGCAAGTCACTCTGGACCATTCATCGAACTAGATGTGTTCAAATATAAATAAGCGTTTCAGTCGAGGTAGGTGTGTTTAGATCCCATCCGATTAATCACCAATGTGGGGAGAATGTTACACACAATATCAACAGTCAACTATTAAATTGTACTTCAAGATAGAATTTGAGTTACCATGCCTTAAATATTAGTGAATGGGAATTGAATAGTTGTAGTGGCAGCTACGCAACAGACTGACAGCTGAATAATTTTGCAATCACTTTTAGTTTTTTCAAATTCCGCTGAGCGAAAGATTTCTTAAGTTAAAATCCGATTTTAACTTGGAGGTCGTAATGAGTCAGCAATTTCACATTCAAGGCGCTACAAACAGTATTCACATCTGTTGACATCGTGGCGAGGAGAAGTGAGGCGAGAGTAATCAGTTCAGCAGCATGTTTCATCAAGAAGTTTGGTGAGCAGAAATCAATAGAGCAGAAATCAATGAAAAATTTTTAAATTCTTTTTCAGGGAAATTTTTTCTTCTTCAAATAGTATTACTTACGCGAGACCTAGTTTAATAATGAAGTCTTTTTCATTTGCTATAGCGATTAAAATTCCTTCAGAAGAAAAAATGTAGCAAAAGAATGGCGACATTCAAATGTGAAGAAATTAAGAAGTTCTTTTAAAAATGACTGCGCCATATAAGGTAATGTTGAAAAATTCGGAAGTCTGCAAATATTATAAAATACATTTTGCTAACACTAACACACAATGGCTATCGTTAAAAAGCAATGCGTTCTAAATATTCCTGCTGACACATAGTATTAATGTTACATTTAACCGTAATGTGATATAATAATAACAATATTAATAATAATATGAACCTTGCTTTAGTTAATCAATCTTTTTTTAAATCATTTGCACTAAAATTAACTGTCATGGCTGAGGTCGAAGATTAAAGATAAAAACTTACTAGAAGCAAAAACTCGTGATTTTTACAATTTGAATATACAAATTACAAGGTGTGTAAATAAGGTAATGAGAATGGCGATGTAACGTTTGATATGGTAACTCTGGTCACTCAAACGTTTGAGAGGCAATAGATGAACCTCTGATAAAAGTTTAGTACAAATTTGAAATCGGTTGATTGTTACAGACATTCGAACTCAGTTTTTGTGGAGCGTTCTAAAAATAAGTGACATTAATAAGGAACAACGATGTGCTATCAGATTTCGCTTCAGACATGGGCAACAAAAGAATTTTCAAATCTACAAAGAGATCCGTGATGGCTCAGGGGATAGAGCGTTCGCCTTCCAATGAGGTGAACCGGGTTCGAATCTCAGCGATGGCTGGTGGATACGAATTCTGCATCCATCCGGCTTGCAACGATCACAGTACTGATGTGAAATATCCTCACTGGTAGACGCATCATGGGTTAGAGTCCCCTTGCCGTCAGGCTAACCGTGAGAGGTTCTCCTGGTCTTCCTCTCCATGCGGGTTAGTTCCATCAAAAAGTCCTCCACGAAGGCAAAATTCTCTCTATACTTGATTCAGGAGTTTCCTTGTGTTCTGGTTTGGATTCAAAATTACAAGGCAACGGAGTTGAAGATTAATAGTCGTAAGCCCCCCCCCCCCAAAAAAAAAATTGGGTCTGCTGTTCAACGACTGTTATGAAATAGAAATCTACGGAGATAGTGTTTTTTCAATAGCCTAAGTGTTTCGGTATTTTAAGACATTTTAAAAAGAAAGAGGGCCGTTGGAAGACGAATCACGCAGCAAAAGGACAGCTCAATTGCACGAATTGCTGAAAACGTTGACACAATCTGGGAGCTTGATTTTTCATATTGTTGATTAGCGGTCAAAATAATCAGAGAATGATTGAATTTGTATCACGCCATGTTTAATCAGATTTTTAAAAAAAGAATTGAATTTTGACTTCGACAAAGGATCATGCCCGTGAGACCAAGCAAGAACGGTGAAGCGTCTCGTCACACAGCTATGTCAATGGAAGAGTTTTTGGCCAATGAGCATATTCTTGTGACTCTTTAACCTCTTTACTCGTCTGATTTGAATCCTTTTGACTTTTTCCTCTCCCCGAGATTAAACATTCATCTCAATGAACTTCATTTTGGGATACTAGTTAATACTTTAAATGCTGTAACATATTATATAAAGACTGTTCCAATTTCCGAGTTCCTGCACTGCTATAAGAATAAAAATATTTAAAAATCAGTCTCATTGCTGAATTTACACACCTTGCAGGTCTTTTTTCTAACCTGAAACTTTATAATTTTTTCAAAGTTAAGGAATAAGGCAAATTACAAAGTTTATACTTCAAAATTTCTAAGTAGAAATAGTTTTTTTTTAGCAATTGCGAACTGCGAAGCTAACTGCAACCACCCTTTTTGTTTCTTCTTTTCAAGCAGTGGCGTGCAGAGGTGTGTGGATGCACGTGGCTAATTCTCGATTTAATGACTTTTAATAATGATAATGACTTTTAGCTCCTGAAAAAGAGTACTGTAATCAATAAAGGAGCAAAAAGAGAAAGAAATAAAAGTAAAAAAAATCTAAAAGTAAAAATCTGAAACCATATTTGAAACTCATTGTTAATTAATGTGTGCCGAGATTCTTACATTTTAAGCAATTTATAACTTTTGCAATTTGCAATTTTTATGGTAAGCAATTTATAGTTTTGGTAAGTGACTTATAATAATATTCTGAGGTTTTCATTAATTGTAAAGAATCTTTAAGTATTACTGACATGATATTCAATTTTAAAATTTGTGCGGAAAATATTGTTCACACTTCATAAAATATTTCAATTGAACCAAGTATTTATGATTAAGGTTTTAAATTTGTAATTAAAGTAATAGAATATTAACGGCATTTAAAATCCTAGTATCCTTAGTGGTCACATGGATCTCAAGGCTGTTAGCAAGGAGACTTCAAATCAGATCCATTTACCCCAGATGTGCATTTTTCTTTATGAATATGCCAGCTATCACTTTGAGTCAAACCTCGGTTGCCTCATTGGTAAACGTGAACAGTATCCCCATAACTGACATTCATCATCTCCTGAGGAACGGCAAGTTCATGCCGTTCCTCAAACTCCTCTAAAGACAATACTTCTTAGTTATATTGCTTAAAGGCAAAGGTTTTTTTTGTGTTAAATATTAAAGTGTTGTGTGTATGATAGGTATCCATCATAGCGACGACTCCTAGTCGCTGTATTGTGTGGCAGAGACAGAGCCTCGAGTATCTTCTGATTAAGGAGACCCATCTCTCGACAGTTCTCGCCCTCCTACTCTCTAGGGACATCACCCGAAAACTCTATGCCATGAATGAAAAGGTATAAAAAAATCTAGCTTTATTGAAATATAATTCATAATTATACGTTATGAAAGAACTTTAATGAATGAAATAATTTGCAAGGAGCTTTTTTAGGAAGATAAATTTTCACATAAAGCTCAAGGTTAAAATATACTTGAGGGTGCCCCTTGGCGAAATTGGCTACTTATGTTTGGCGCCATTCCTGTTTGTGCGGAACATCGTAATAACAGAAATGGCGGCCAAAACATAATGATATTTCAGTAAAACATTGGAAAATTTCACTAAAACATCGGTCAAAACTTTATAAAATTGCAATGAACCCAATATAAGCAAAATTAATAAACCCAATAAAATGTATTTTGAATCGAAACAAAAATTAATGGAGTGAGCACAGAATTAAAAGGAAAAAAACAACTCACCTCTTAATTAAGCTTGAATATCCTCAGATTTAGGTGCACATAATTCTCTAATAGCAGTTAGATACTGTCTAAATTTATCACGAAGAGATTCTGCGTATCCCCAGCGCCACATAAATTCGGCGAAATACGAATCGAAAATGACGTCTGTGATACTGGACTGGCGGTGACATTTTTTTCTAAAGTCCCTTTTTATGACTGCCCACATACCTTCGATCTTATTGACCAGAAGCAAAAGTAACCTTACCAGCCGGTATCCAACGTAGAACTAACGGATCTCTGAAATTAGATATACCATTGAGCATTTAAAAATAACGCTAAAATCTAAACCAATCAGAATCTTGGGTTTCAACATCGCCCAGCTTGGCGATTAACCGCAATCACAGCTTGGCGAGAATCAAGGGGCACCCTCAAATATAGTCTACCCAGCTCAAGTATAAAAAACGAAACATCCTTAGTACTTTCTGTTCATTGTAAGAAGGCGAATTTATTGTGACGTGAGGGAGTCATTGTGCTAAAGAATCGTTATTAGCTTGAAGCTACTTCTTAGAATTTTACAGAAAGAAAATAACTAAAGAAATATTTACCATAATTTAATGAAGGAACTGTCCTTAGTTCTGTCTGTTCACAGTAATAAGGAAAATTGTTCGCGATGTTAGGGCGTTGTAGTGTTGAAGAAGAATGTGAGAATGTTTAAATATTCGAATTTAATCCTCGTTGTTGTTCTTGTGTTACAGATGGTGACGGAGAAGGGTTCCCATTTAGATATTCGTCTTCCCAGCTTTACGGGTTCTATCGCATCCCAAGAGGACACAAAAAAGGTCACAGAATCAACAGGTATATCTCACAAGAAGGAAAAATTCTTATCAGAGAGCTTGTTCTTACGGAAGCCGTTAGCAATCCCGACTTTAAACGAGGTGTAATCGAAAAATTCATTCGATGAATGGTCTCACAAAACAAAAGGAACGAGAAGTACAAATTGAAAAAAAAAAACCTTTACTGTAATTCAAAGTAAACACCATTATCGTCCAAATACTTAAATTGACATAGGTTGCACAGCTACTGGAAGCTATCAGTAAATGCTTCTTTCGGTATTGCCCTTTGAAGCATCGTCGCACCACACCTCGTCACTGCTTCTTGTCATCATTCGTTAAAATTTTCCTTTCTATCTCTAAAACATTTAAACTACTTAAAAACTTCATTGCACACTTTCACTAAAATGTCGCATATCTCAGTCACTGTTTTGCCTCATTTGTAGCAATCACACGCTTTGCACCGTTGACACTCTATCTATCAAAGACTGCAAAAAATCGGCTGTAACGCACACTCCCACTGAGTTTTTAAAATTCGAACGCTTGGGGACAATTTTTACCAAGTCTACGTGAACGCAATATCGTAACATTTACCCAGTTTTTAGAAAGGGCGTTATAAGAAAATTTTTTTACGTAAGTGCGAAGTAGATTTTAAGTATGATTTAAAAATCAAGTGTATTTGATTTAGAATATTAAAATCACCTGAAAACTAAAGAAAGATTTCTTTCCTTTTTTTAAATTGAATTCTTAAAAAAGTTGTTCTGGAATGAAGCCATAGGGTTGGAAGCTAATTTCAAACATTTGTTTTTAAAACTAACTTTATTCAGCTCTCGGATAATTTAAAACTGCTTCTTTGAATGATATCAATCAATAAAATATCGTTATACTAAAGTATAAAAATCCCTAAGAACATTGTATCTACAGCGCCCCTCCCCCCCAAAAAAATTACTAAAAGTCATTTTTAATAGTTATTTTTTATCGAAATACACAAAAAGTGAAGTTAGCATTAAGGGGTTCAAACTTTTGATCTCTCTCCAAATCAAACTAAGGGGAACATATTTCTCACATTGCTGCTACCTCCTATATTATGAAGGTCAGAATTCCGAATCCGTTGGAAAAACGGTATGTTTATTCAGAGAAAGTACATTTTTGTACATGGTGAGGAGGTTTCCTCATGACATGGTTTTCCTCACCATGTCTTCCTCATCAATGACACCATAGCTTCCTCACCAATGACATGATTTTCCTTGCGTTACATGGTGAGGAAAACCATAGAAACTTTCCACTGTTAGCCCGATGGCGAGGAGAGTCTAACCCATGATCCGTCTACCACTGATGATATTTTTTGTCACCTCGGTGGTTGGTGCCTGCTGGAAGCATAATTCATGTTTACCAGTCACCGATGGGATTCGAACCTGGATCACCTTTCCATGAGGTGAGCGGTCTATTTACTGATCCACTGGCTTTTATATAGACCATTGACAATACAAACAGAAAAGAAGATTTTAAAATATTATCTTCTAGTATTAAAATTATACTAAATGCTGTCCGATATGTTGGACGCTGAGTATCAGGAGAATATTGTTGAGTTCTTCTGTGATTTTATGTGAGCCATTAAATGAAATAAACGATATATTTTCTAACAATAAGTTGTATTTTATTTGATTTTGAACATTGTAAAAACAAATTGAGTTGACTAGAACTTAAATATCTCGAGAAAATCGATCGTGGTTTATTTGTGTTCAATCAATTTGAAAATCTTCTCTTTTAAATATTTGGCAGCTTTTACCGAAAAAGTATGTCGAATCGAGCAATTTATTTTTGTTAAAAGGAATTTATTAATTCCGTTTAAAAATGTTATGAATGAAATTATTTTTAATACATATAAACGGAATTAACTGAAGCACATACTGCTCTTTCAAGTCTCGTGGTCATGGATATTGTATGTATGTATGTATGTATGTAAAGCAAACAAAAGAGAAATTTAGTGAATCTAATTAATGTTACAATTGTGATCTTTTTGAATATGACGTTTCATTTACCTTCTATAAGGTCAAAATCGATGCAATTCTCATCTTGGGCGTAATTGTTTTTCGTAAACAAATAACGTAAACGATTCATGTCGATTTAATTGTATTGTAATTTTTTCGTATTTATATTTCGTATTTCTTCGTATTTATATTTCATATTTCTTCATGCTTATATTTCGTATTTCTTCGTATTCTTTTTTAAGTTACATGCAATATTTTATTTGTTTCCTTTTCGTGTAAACAAATATAGCATGGAAAAATTCTTGTTCTTTTAAAAATTTTAAAACCATTTTATCCAATACTTTTTCTTCCTTGGATTTAAGGGCTCTTCGGAAAAAATATTCACCATATTTTTTCCCCTAGAAACACGCTTTTAAATCATAGCTATAAACAAAATAAACGCGTGTTTTCAGATGACTTTAGGAATGCTAATTCGATGACGTAGCACCGATTCACACACACGTTGCTCACTGAATTTGGGAAAAATAATTATTCGTTAAAGAACGTGTGATAAAATCTTAAACAGAATCGGTAATAACTTAATTTATAACGATGGTTAATGCTATAAACTAATGCGGAAAAAATAATTTTTCAAAGTCGAACGTAATAATTAATGTTTTTAAATGATTCTTTGAATGGAGGGCTAAAATTGATCCTCGTAGTCGATGTTTGAATTTTCGAGCTCCAACGATACTCGACTCTATCGAAATTCCAACGGTTCTGATGTTATGCGAGTGATTTAAAATAGTGTTCTGTGACAAGAACAGACAAAATGTAGAATAAGCACAAAAGAAAAAGTTAAAAAAATGGCACTCTCTTAAAATATGTACTAATATGGTCAAACTATCATGGCAGTAAAATGTAGCAGTAGAATCTCCCTACAACGAAGTCTCTAAATAGCGAAATTCTTCCAAGAGTGACATTGTTATTAGGAAGGTAAAACCATTCAAAATATTTTTCTTTAAATGATTTGGTCGTCTGTCTGTAACAAAATGTTCAGACGTTTATCTTTCCAATTTTCAATGGAATTTTTGAAAAAATTTGCAATTGAAAGACTGTGTTTTATTATAAGTAGAAATATTCATGAAATAACAGATGATGTAACTAACTGTTTACAAGTGGACAAAGAACTGCTTCATATTATACAGGTGAACGCTTCATATTATACAGGTGATTTTGAACAGTGTTATTGGAAAACGACAAAGGCCAAGAAAATGACGAAAACAAACGGTCATTCATTAAGGTCAAGGTTTCCAAATGGGATAAAATGTGCCCGACTCAATTTTTAGTTTACCTGAATAGTTACCTAAAGATATTGAATGAATTAAGTTACTTAATAATATCAAAATGCGAAAAAAAAAATTTCTTGAAAATTTAAAGCCGCTAAATGAAAGACAATGTAAACTCATGATACAATGCACAAAAAATAAACGGACCATCTAGAATAACTTTGGATCTAATGTTCGGATCTTCACGTTCTAGGACTCTATTGTAATGGTTCAAGAGAGTGACATAAAATATGCTAATTAGTTTGTGCAGACGATATTTAAAGTTACGAAATCAGACACAAAAACGTACCTTCTCTTTATAAAATACATTTTATAAGATGGATTCGGATTTCGGACTCTCAAAATATAGGGTTTAGCCGCATTCTGGGATATATGGTTCCCATAGGAGAGCGATCCGAAGTTGGGACCCCATAAAAAAATTTTGCTTATTTCATCATGTCTCAAGAACTTCTTGAATTAAACAATTTTTTGCACACAATTTCAATTATAAAATTCGCTTACCCAAAGGTAATTCCATGCAAAAATAACTTTTATTAAATATTAATTATTTTATTTAATTAAAAACTGAAAATTTTGAATTGTAAGGTATGCAAATTTTTACATTATTTTAAAGTAAGTAATTTTGCATGGCAAAATACAAAATTTGTGCGAAATTGGGTATACTATAATCTGCGTCACAGGTCGTGTTACTCCTACTTAGAGCCCCTGAATTAGACCTAAATTTAACTGGTAAACAGCATTTTCTGCGAACCAGATTTCTAGCAACAAATAAACATTAAACGAAGTGTGTTGTTACAAGTCGTTGCTCGCCAGGTTGGAAATGTATTAGCCTAGTTCCTTTTGAAATAATTTATTTTGTTGTTTTATCTAAGTTTATGAATTTAGTAAACATATTTAAAACTTTATTTAAAACATATTTAAAACATATTTAAAACTTTATTAATTAAACTAAAAGGTAAATATTATTCCTAGTAAAATTTTCGAAGTGGAAGTAGTTGTGTTTTTTTCATATTATACCCAATTAGTCGATTAGTTCTCAGAAATCGATTTTTTAATGTGCGGCCTTTTTAAAATTTAATTTCTCTGATTTCGCTGACATACTAGTGGGTACTATTTTCTATATTCGTGCATTTTTTTCCCTCGTGAGTATTTTATTGATACAATAAGAAATAACGATTTTGATATGCTTGTAATATGTATCTACTCTATTTCTAATGAAAAATTCATATCATATCCACCGACAAAAAAATTTGTAGCATTTGTAGCAAAATTTGTATTTTAACTTTAGAATTCTCTAGACTCTGAGTTACAAAGTTTTCTTGTACCGAATTATTTTAGATGATGCCCATGGATGTCGTAATAAAGAGACTCCACCGTCATTTTTGTTTTATTTCATGATCGTGAGTTTTGTACAAACGATATTTTTTTTCCTCCTGAGAGTTTATCTGAGCAAGATTTAATCTATAGTTATTTTGTTCCCAACATGTAGCATTCTTACTCAATCAAATTACTATATTTGGGTTTGAGTATTTTCTCTCCGTAATAACAAATCGCAATCATCCCTAACCGCTGTTTTGATGTTCAACTATATTTTGCTGTGCAAAACCTATGATACTTCGAAACTTGAAATTACGAAGTATTGAGAGTGCGATAGAATAAAAAAAATCCAACCTATGATAATTAGTTGGAGATTTATTACTCATTAAATTTAAATTAAAAAATAACATGCGGTCCGATCAGCATGCGGCAGGAAAACTGCATCAAAATTTGATTTGCCAAAAAAGTCATTTTTGCTTATTGAATTAATACACGTTTTTTTTCTCTAAATTTCAATTTGACTAAAAGTTATTGTGATTTTAAGTGCTTTACTGCGATTTGTGCCACTTTTCTGCTTTAAGTTTCATTTTCTTTCGCTTCGCAAAAGCTATGAAACTTAAAAACTTAAAAATGCGTAGAAAAATGTACGTAGAGTATGATGGAATAAAATAAATAAGATTCGATTATAAGTTCAAGAATTATCAACTATTAAACTTGTAGAAAATGCAATTTGTTGGGATTTATTAATCAATGAAATGTAGCTATTAAGTTGAAATTTAACGTTCTAAAATGGCCATTTTTATTAATAAACTTCACGCATTTTTTTTTTTTTAAATTTCAGTTCGTTTGAAAAATACAATTTTAGGTGTATGAGTCACATATATTTTTTTCAACTTTTTTTTACTTTAAACAATAACTATTTGTCCATTGTTGTAGAAAAATCAAGATTTATACGCTTCCTCGAGGTCTTTGCTTTATAAGCTCATGTCTGATTTGATGTTAAAATTAATTGTAAAAATGAATAAATATAATAAAAAAAGGATTAGTTGTTGCCAGACATAAATATTAACATTTATATCGAAATTTTTAAAAATATGAAAGATTCAAAAGAGATATAAGCTGCTTTATGTTATAGTGAACTGTTATAATGATATAAGTCTTGTTAACGAGTAAAAATAATATTAATTTATNACAGTAATTATTTGTCCATTGTTGTAGAAAAATCTATACTTATACGCTTCCTCGAGATCTTTGTTTTATAAGCTTGATGACTTGATGTTAAAGTAAGTTTGACTTGATGTTAAAATAATAATAAAAATGAATGAATATAATAAAAAAAGGATTAGATGTTTGCCAGACATAAATATTAACATTTATATCGAAATTTTTAAAAATATGAAAGATTCAAAAGAGATATAAGCTGTTTTATGTTATAGTGAACTGTTATAATGATATAAGTCTTGTTAACGAGTAAAAATAATATTAATTTATTTTTTGTTGATTTATAAAATCTGTATTCCTCAGGCTAAGTTCTTTTTTTCGAGTACTGATCCAAGTTTTTAAGATCCGAGTAATCGCTCATTTTGTTACTTTTAACATATTAACAAAATGTTCGTATGTAAAAATTATATATTTCATGAAAAAATTTTATTTATTTGAAAAGCATCTGCTTTAAAAAGAGCAAAAAGTAAATGAGAGACAACCATAGGGCTTCGTGAATGAATGCTATAAGTAAAAATATATAATTCTAAAAAAATCTTATTTTATAATTTGTTCTGTACTTATATTTAAGCATAGCATGGTTACAAAGTCTGAAATTTAAGAGTTTATTAAAAGCTTTTTAGCATGTTCTTTTTTTCCACTTCTACATTGCATCTCGATTAAAAAAAATTATGATTCTGCCATCGAATTCATCAACATCGTATTATTATAATAAATGACAATCATGAATGATATTTCAATGTTGAATTCAATAAATATTTATATGAAAACAATAATAATAAGAGAAAACTTTCTTACGACGAAAAAATTCCAACAGTTCTTGAAGATGAAACGCTTTAAATTCCCGAAAAAGTGATAAGAAATGAAAAAGAAAAGGATTGAATGATGCCTTCATAAACATGGTCTTAAAAAAAGATTGCTTACAACCAATGTTCGGTTGGCATCGATATATATTTTCTAAAATATAAATATGTAAGAAAAAATTACCTTTATCTATAAGATCTGGTTGTAAGTTAAGAAAGCAGAAAACATAACTTTTCCTAAACTCCATAATTCTGTATAGGAATGGGTTCTCGAATTATATAAATTATTCATAGAGGATTTATGAGTGAAAGAAAGTTGACAGTGATAGTACAAAAAGTTCCCCTTTCGAAAAAAAATCTCATACTTTATTTTTATGAGATCAAAACGAATCGTTTTATTTTTTTTATTTTATTGATTTTGCAGACGTTACTTTTACTCACAGAATTTCTTGTTTCACATTTCTAAATGTCGTTTGAGAAACCAAAAATATAATCTCGAGGCCATATCGCTTGTTAATTTTTGGAACAAAAAATATCTTTGGTACTTTATGCTTTTTATGTCTTTAAAGATTCTCCTCTGAACGACGACGCCCTTTTAATATTCTATTAGATTGTTAGAATCGGAAAAAAGTTGAGAAAAGGGGAAAACATCGTCTTGTTTTGAAGTAAAAGAATGAGCTTTTGACGCCATTAACGACTTTGACGTGATTCGAAGGACCCGATAAATATGCATTTCTCGTAAAATAAGGTCTTTTGTATGTTAGAACATCAGAATAGTATGAAAAGCTAAATAACAAAGGACAAAGCTTGATCACATGGATTTTTTTTTTCTTGATATCATGTTACCACTCATACGCATGTTGAACGTTTTATAGGAATGAATAGTGTTTTCATAATTGCTCTGAACACATATTTTTAGAATTTGTCTAGAAATAAATAATTACTAGTATGAACATTCGGGTTCGTAAATTAATACTCAAATGAGGAAAATCTGTTCAGTCACCAGCCATGAAACAGAAATGAAAAACATAAGAAAAAATTTGATTGCCAGATGAAACTTGGGGTTGCTTCTAACAATCGCATTTCAACTCCTCCCTCGATTAAACATGTTTTTATGCTTTAGATCCCACTTTCTTTAGTAGTGCTTCGTTAGTTTTTGACGGAGTTTTGTTTTTTCTTAAGTACTAATTTTTGACTGACTATAATTGTTTATTCCTACTGGTACTGTAAGGAGTCTTATCGAGCAGTACATAGCCACTTTACTATACCTAGACGCCACTTTTTTAGCCATAACTAAAATTATTTGACAGTTGAGAGGGTTGTTCAAGACTTTAGTGAGTATCCTACATATTAGGTATAAGCATGTATCAATAATGACAATGCCTTATAAATAATTTTTTTATGTATACTGTCTAAAGATGGTAGAAATAAGTATACTACGCTTTTAGTTTTAACTTATTACAAATCTCAACGAGAAAAATCATTTGCATTCAAACAGAAAAAAAAATTATTCTGGAGTAAAACTGAAAAAAAGAAAAGAAAAAAAGTTAAAACTTAAAACTATTGCATACTTGAAAACAATCTTTCATACTTGGTGCTTTCATTCTAAACTTTTCTGAAGTGTATCTTTCACCGAGAAAATAAAATCATCGTCGTAAGTATAAATTTGTTTGAAAAGTCAAAAAAAGATTCTATTTTTGGGATTCAAAAAGCAATAAACTTCCTCTTTTCAGCGTTGCTTTATTATTTGTTTATTAGTTTTATCCCGTTTTTATATGCTTATGTTTTCTTTTTATTTGTGTGTTACAGTCTTTGGCAGCAAGGACTTTGTTGCCACAGGCCATGGACACACGAGGGTTCTCCATTCCGAGTAAAGTATCACCCAGAAGAGGCCAAGAAGAGACATTTTTATATCAATTGGCAGTAGAAGAGGAGGAGGAGGAGCAACAAGGAAGCAGACGATCGAGTGTCGATTGTTTGTTTAAGATCGCGAAAGATTCATTCCATCCTCTGCTTTTCTTTCTTCAGAACATTGTTTTCAAAAGCAAAAGAGGAAGATATTTTCTTATATATATAGCTCCATTGAGAGAAATATATGCAAAAATGATTTTTCTTCATCAATAAAGGTGGAAATATACAAGCTCCAGATTTTTGAATTCCAGAAGAGCAAAGTGGTTGTTTTTGAAAATAAATTTTCGTTTGTAAAAAATAAAAAAATAAATAAAAAAGGGTGCTCGCTGCTTATTAAAATTATGTTTGTTCTGAGAATGTTTGATTTATAAAGTTAAAAGGTCGACATGGTTTAAAAGTTTATAAAAGCTTTAGTATAACAGCCACCACACAGTCTACTGATCACAAAAAGTTTTCATCACAACTACTTATAAACTCATGATGAATGGGATTTCTGTTGAGATAGATATTGAACGGTTATGATTGAAAAGCCCAAGGGGCCCTCAGTCGCCAATAATTCCGAATTGATGTAATGTAAATGAACTGTTCCTAGCTGACAGTTAGGAGCACGGGAAGAGATCCAAAGCTGGCGATTTATAGAGAGATAACATAACCAAAAATAAATCCAACCTCTCTTAACCAATATTAAGTTTGAAAATAATTTGGCCAAAAAAAAAATCGCCAAAAAGACTATGAGAAATTTGATATTTTTAAATTCACTCAAATGGTTTTTAGAGCCTTCTTTGAAAAACTACAATTAACCTAACCAACTGGGAGGATAATTAGTTTAATGATAACAGTTATTATTATGACAAGAAATTTATTAAAATTATTTTTATTCTAAAATCATTGAATCATATTTTAAATGGGTACACATTATCTTTATTTCCTGTACGATCAGCAGCTCGTAGAAAAGCACTTTTCCTCAGCATTTGCAAATTGGTTTTTACCTATTACCCTCTGGTTTAGTAAACTAGAAATAAGACATAAATTCGTAATAATTAAAAATAATTAAAAAAATATAATATATATATGTGTATTTTATTAACATGACTCAAACACACATTTATCAAACACTAACTCAATTACACATTTATATATTATATTTTTTTTAATTATTTTTAATTATTAAGAATTTATGTCTTATTTCTGGTTTATATAATGCAAATTGGGTTTCAGTTGCCTTGTGCGCTTTTCCAATCTGAATTAATAAAGTAAAGTTTCAGTGTGTTTATTTTCCTTAGTTATCATTATTGACCTAGTAAATTGTATTGATTTTGTGATTGGATCTCTGGTTTAGTAGTCATTAAACAGATTATTTACTTAAAATTTGATTCTTTCAAAATGAGAACAAAATGAAGGATGTTGGCTTAAAACTGTTGTATAACAATAAGATGCAAAAACCATACTTCTTATCGAAACTATGAATGAAATATGTGCCTAAAATAGTGCAATCTTTTACTTTTTTTTACTATTTTTTTTTCATTGGTTGCTTAGCAACTAGCGAAAATTGATGGCATATTTGGTTTCCAATTGAAGTTTTAAACAACAAAAAGTATCCTTCTTTAAGAAAGAATATTTTTTTTATCTATATCGTTTTTTAGTCTAAAAATCTATTTGTGCACAAAATTCCAGGTTGATTCTCTTTATATATTAAAAGAAAGTGCAAAAATGTGCAATGAGACTTGTGTGATCCTGTGAAATGTATAAAAAATTGTAAATAAATAAAGGAAGTTTCAACTTCTTCATCTGTTAATTCATCAGCTGTCATCTGTTTCTGTCTCATTTCTTTTCTTCATACGACAAACTAACCCTATATGCAAATATATTTCATGCACTTAAAATAAAAATATAATGAAATAAAATAATCGGAATTTGAAAACTGGAAATAGAAGGCCCCTTAGAACAGAATTTTTAAAAGACATTACTTAAATTTTAATTTGTTACTCGCTCAAATTCTTAGACCCATCCCATAGAAAGCATGGCCAAAACAAAAGTATTTAGCATTCTAAACTTTAATATTTTGATTATGAAACTTTTATCAACTTCACTTTTAACAATCATAGCAAAATTAAGTTAACCGAGGCATTTTGAGTTTGAAATATAAGTACTTGCATTAGCTTTTACAGTATTCTAAGAGAAAATAAGATATGTTCTTTTTTCTCAAAGGAATGAATTTAATAAATATTTCTAGACGATACTGATTTGCCCTAAATAATATGTATAATTTTGCAAGATAGAGCTAAATCTTTCTTATTACATAAAAATTTGTATGTGGGAAGATTTTTCAAGGGAGCCTGATAAATTTCTTTTTCGTGTTGGCAACACAGAGTTGAAATATCAAGCAAGTAAGCAGTCATAGGCATGAATGCTCAAACATACATAAGTCTACATATTTCCACATGAAAATTATTTTCTCACATAAATGACGAGCAGCTGAAATGAACTGAGCTATTGAGTAAACATGAATGGCTTCGAAGCAAATAATTCATTTAAATAAATTGTTCCATATTTTTGTTTTAATTATGTTTAGTGATTTACGTAGATTCAATAATAACTGACAGCTGATATTTTAGTTTTAATACTGTTTCATGATTAACACAAGAGACGAATGTATTTTAAAACGGCAGACTATGCCTTTTTTTCATTTTTTGATCTTTTCGTTGTTTTTTTTTACACATTTTACGAGTTCATGTTATTACGAAAGAGTTTCCAATAATATTCATAATAACGTATACAGGGAAATGCTATGACTTAACTGTCGAAAGCTAAGTTTCCATCTAACATTGAAATGTATACAAATTAAATAGTAATGCATATAAATTGAAATAAATGAATGAAAATCAAAGATATCACAGGATGTATATGTTACATATGTTTACAACTTAATTTTAAAAAGCTTACCAGAATGCGTACAAATCTAAACAAACCTTGTAAAATGATTTTACACATTTCTTTCAATAAGTAAACGGATTTTAAAAGCAGCAGAGTTTGATGAGTAAGACTCCTAAAATTTCAAGAATATTCAATGCTATTGTTAATTCACAAAAATTGTACTTAAATATGAAGACCTTAGAGACAGATGCCTTTGTTAAGCCTTTGTGGGGCAGAATATTTTGAACTAAAATTTTTATCAAGTATCCCCATAAGAATTGTGGTCTTCATATACATGTTCATAACGAACATGTTCATCTGTTTTGTCTTTATATTTTTAAAAAATTGAAGAGTTTGATCAAAAAGATTAATAAATAAAAACTATTATAATTCTAATGAATTAATTTATCAAAATCAAAAAGGACATTTTTACCCAACCTGTACTGAAATCTCCTGAAAGAGTTTCGAAGTCTCTTAATGTCTAAAACAGGATGTTTCTTAATCTTCTCTTTTTATATGCTTATGTTTTNCAACATTTTAAATAAGGTATTTATTTTTTTCTAGTAGAGGATAGTCTACTTTACTCGTCTGTCAATTAATACTAATAATATATTGGATTTTTTGTTAGTTAACAATAGTTAAGTAAAAAATGTTACAATTGACCCCCCTCTCCCCTATTAAATGAATGAAAGTCAAAGATCTCACAGGATGTATATGTTACAGATGTTTACGACTTCATTTTAAAAAGCGTACCATAATGAGTACAAATCGAAACAAACCTAGTAAAATGCTTTTGCACTTTAAATAAGTGAATGGATTTTAAAAGCAGTAGAGTTTGATGAGTAAAACTCCTAAAATTTCAAGAATATTCAATGATATAGTTAATTCACAAAAATGATACTTAAATATGAAGACCTCTGAGACAGATGTCTTTGTTAACCCTTTGTGGGTTAGAATATTTTGGAACCAAAATTTTTATCAAGTATCACCATAAGAATTGTGGTCCTCATAATGAAACTATTTGTTTTGTCTTTATATTTTTTGACATTTAAAAAGTATGACTAAAAGGATTAATAAATAAAAACTATTGTTATTTTATCAAAAATAAAAAGAACATTTTCACCAACCTCTCCTAAAATCTCCTGAAAGAGTTTTGAAGTCTCTTAATGTCTAATACAGGATGTTTCCTAATGTTCACCCTTAACATATAAAACCTATAAAAGCCCTAATATAGAAACTTTGTCAAAAATTAATTCAAGATAATTGCATCTATGCGCATAAGTGGTGATATTTTTATATTTAAGCGAAGAAAAAAATTGATCCTGTACTATTGGAATCTCAAGGAGTGATGAAAATATCAAAATTACTTTAATGCAAGTTTTAAAAATTGTTAATGCTTCTTCTCTCGCTTTCTTCACTATTATTTCATTAAATTTCAATAGATTTTTCATTTTCCCCGATTTACGACAATATTAATTTATGACCCTCAACTTGAATACTTTTTAGGCATAATATTAATGTAGTTCAAAGTGACTATTTCAAGAGATGAACTTCACTTGAATGAAATAATAGTCAAGAGATATTTTAAAAACATGTAAAAGAGGGATGTGATAAAATAATGGTTATTAAACTTTTCAATGAGGAAAAGTAAAAATTTTAATTTATGTATTTTTAAATGAAACGTTTTTAAAACGCTTTCCAATTTTATTTAAATCTTCGCATTTTCCTTTCTTTAACAGTGAACAGAATATAATATTTTTTGAACCCGAAGATGATTTTTCTAACGTAAAATAAGAACGTTACTAGTTTAAAATCTTATCTCGGGGTAGTAAAAAATGTATTTTCTAAAACATTAAAAAAGGCCATGATAATCTCCAGTCTTAAACTGAAAACTCGTATTTCATGAAATTTTTTTTAAAAAAATGAGAAAGTTTGCTTTATTAAAAGAAGTTTGTTAAAAGTTTGTTTTGACATTATGTTTTAACATCTTAGCCATTCCCTAATTTACCTGTAATAACGAAACGTAGTGTAGTGTATAAAACTGTTGTACAATTAAATGTGACTTGGGTTTGATATTGTTGGCTAATATGTGGGGACCACAATGAGAAAAGCAGGAAATACAAATTACAACAAGATACAAATTATAAAAATATTACAAGAAAAGCAGGAATTTTAATACAAATTAACTCAGAATATAAAAATAAACATTTTTAAAAGCATTTTCTTTGAAAAATAAACTATTTGCTTAAAAGTTCAATTTTATAAACTACATTTCTGTTATATGCCAGGTTAAAGGCTTTTCATGCATATTCTTTTCTAAAAAAAACCGTCATGTGTTCTGACCAAAAATTCATGAACATGTTTTTTAAGCAATAACTTGCATTTTTTTAAAAATTAAAACGATAATTCGTGTGTGCTGAAGAATTTACTTATTGATGAAGAGAATATGCGTTTACAAAGTTCGTTTTTCCACTTCACGAAAAAATTTTTTACAAAATTATTAAAATTAGTAATTTCGAAAATTAGTTAACTTGGGAATTTTCTTTTTAAAAAAGAAGTTATTTTGATCATTTTTTAATTTCTTTAAAATTCTTTGCGAAATAAAAGATATCCATGTCCTTTTCAAGAATATACAAATTATATTAACTTTCTATTACTAATTTCGATTATTTCATTTTTGCTAAGAAAATTCAATAAACAATACATTTAATGAAACAATAAATTTTGTTTCATCTTACAAAAATGCATTTTTGTTAGCGATTTCCAAAAAAGCGAGCACAGTAATTTCTTATTATGCTGACAAATTATGCCTCCCATATACAAACAGTAACTGATGAATAGCTGAAAGAAAAATTAAATCATGCTTAACGTCACCAGTCTAAACTAATATGACGGAATGATTAGTTTCATTTCTTTCCTTCATAAAAACTGTCTTATTAAATCAGTTTTCTTTCTCAAGATAAAAAAAAAAAATCTGTTCCATTCGTATTGTTCCGGAAGACGAGACATTTTTCGCCATTTTTTTTTCTTTTATCCCATATACACGTTATTTAATCTGGATAAGGCAACAGAGAAACTGTCTCTGGAATTGAAAGAAGTTCGAAATTATCATTTTAAAACTTATCGAGAACTTCTTTGAAATGTTGCCAACTCTTCAGAATGATATTAAAAGTGGTATTAGGATATTCATCATTTCTCTTGTCGCTTTAAGTTAGTTCAGGGTGCAAATAAGTCTTATACTTCTAAACTCGAGTAGTGATGAAAAATGCATATTTTATTTCGAATTGTAAAAAACTAAGAAAGTGATTGAAATAAGTAATGTATGTCTTATTTTATCTACGCTTATTTTATCCCGATAAGACGTCACACTTAATGTAAAAACACTCTAAAGTACATTATAAGGAAACTATTTATATTATTCAGCTAAAAACTATATTTGACGCAAAGTGGCTAGCGTTAGTGCGTTTGCATTTATAATGAATGAGTTCACTTAAATGTTAAACCCCAGTATTACATAGTGATCCATTAGATTTATGTTGAGATATTATTTTTCAAGCAAGCGTGTCACACAATTGAAGAATGCTAAATTGTTACGATTATCAAAATCATCAAGTCATCAAAATCATGACTGCTCATTAGGAAAGTTAATTGATTTTTTTTCTGTTCTTCTCAGTGTAAAAGTAAGCAAAACTGTATTTTGGCTTATCCTCTTCACCCCCTAGATCAATTGGAGCCAGACTCAATTTAAATGGTTAAACAAGAAAGGAACTTTCGAAAACAAGCAGGAAACTTCAGCTTATTTTAACATTTGCTGAAAATAATTTGGTACTAAAAAATGAAGTTAAAATTAAGTATTGAATCTGCCACTAT